ACAAAAGGTTATTTTTATGAAAGTTATCTACTGCCGCTTCACATTGAGCTGCTTGTTTATTTCATTAAATGGCGTCATCATTTTCAAGGAATAAAGTGTAACATCTGGGGTTCTACAGACATTCTATTCTCATGTGTGTGTTTATGATAAGCATATTTTGTCATAGCTAACCTCAGGCTCATGACCAGACTTGCTAAGTAAGAACAACGAAACCTTCTGTGGTGAATCACAGCCCCCACTGAAGGAACAAACAGAGGGAGGGTGAGGAAATAGATGGAGGAAACCGGTTCAGAGGCTGTGTGTGTGTGTGTGTGTGTGTGTGTGTGCACGCGCGTGTGCATGTGAGAGGACATGCAGTACCTAAATGCTAACCCTCGTGAACAACTGCTTCAGCCAAAGAGGAAACGAGTGCTCTGCCGCCTCAGCCAATCACAGGTAGTGTCTGAGGACAGGGAGGCATGCAACATGCTGGTATCATAACATTACAGTAATGATGATGTTAATCCCCACACTCTCACACCTTCATTATGAGAGCCTGTTGTGTCAGGTTTATTTAAAGAGCTCAGGATGATACCCCGAAAGGAGTCTTAAAGAAAGGACAAGGTGTGTCCCTGCTATTTTAGAATAATGTATGCATAATACGCACCCCCTTATGTAGATATTAACATGTATGAATATGGTATGCATGGTAGCAATGTGGTCTGAGAGGACGTCAGTTTCTACTGTCAAACTATCCAATAAATATCAAAGAGAGCTACCCTAGTCTCTCTCCAGCTGTACTCTACCCATCCTCAGCTGCAGGGGAAGGGAGAAATCAAGAGAGGGGGTATATGGGAAAACCATAGACTGTAAAAACATGGACGGTGAGGTCACCCATGGGTTTCTGAAGAGCTGTTGCTGTCTGATAGTCGCAGTCCTGACTCTGCTGGCTCCCAAAAATGGGCAAAAAAACAGCCGACTGTGATTGCACTTACCTTATTATGCATAACTTTAAGCCTTAATATCATTTAAATGGGTGAGTTCTATAGAAATTCAGAGAGTCGGAATTATTGGATGTAATTTATCAGTGAAGACTGCTTTTATCAGTATAAGTGTCAGTCACGTTCTCACTTGTATTGCAATTATTTAACGTCAACAGAGTGAGAAAAAATTAAGAAAAAGAAAAACATAATACTGCTGTAAATTCAATAATTATAAAAGTCTGTGAAAAGGTAGATATTTTCAACTGGGGTTTACTCAGACAAATGAAAAGTTAAGAGAAGAGAATCTAATAGAGTGACTGGCACTGTGTCAGTGGGGCTTACAAGCAGAATTACATATAAGGTTTAGGCTCTAATATATACAGTGTACATATCATCATTTTTAATAACTCACATTTCATGTTGTGCCGGTTATGTAATATTGTTTTGCACAATGCATCAGATGTAATGGAAGACTAAAGAGGATCAGTTTCTCCTCCATGTTAGTCTTTCTTGGAAAGCAGATGGACAGTGGCAGTGGACATGTGTACAGTATTTTCCACACGTCAGTCAAACAGACACTGGGCATCACACTTGCCCTACATGTGACTGCACCCTCCCCTTTGCCCACCCCCACCCCCAACCCCACCAGCTGGCAACACTTGGAAACTTTTGACACCTGTTCCTGTTTATGTGTATATGCTATGTTACGTATTTACAAGGACAACACACAACACAACAAGGACAAGACTGCATCACTGCCAATTGTATTAAACGTTCAATATGTCATTTCTGTCGCTAGGGGGTCTCACATCAAAACAATAACAAAAGACAAAGTTTGATGAGGTGGCAAAGTAGTGTGGGATCATGGGAGTTGTTGTCTTCACCACCATTACCATCACTGCAGTCAGCTTCTCCTGGTTAGGATTCCTCAACTACATATAGAACATAGCTCTAGAGTTTAGAGACATTTTATAGTGGAAATGTTACAGATTCTAGCTTTAAAAGTAAAAACTTAGTAAAACTTTAAAATAGTGTCAAAATCTGACTGAGTTTTGAGTGAAATCTTTGGATGAGAAGATATGATTGGAGCCTGAAATGGTTATTGCACCCAGTGTTCAGGTGTGGAAGTGCACACATACTGACAATTTAGTGATCTCAGATCTGTACTAGTATGTATAATATGTACTGGGGTTCATCATCTGGGGAGCAGGACTGAGCTCAGTAAACTGCAGTAGTAAAATAGTTGCAGTAGTTTGTCATATTTGCTGAAACTTTCACTATATCCTGACAGTAGAACATGAGACAGATAATCTAAGAAAAAATCATATTGCTCTGGCTCCTCTAAGTGCTCCTAATAGCATTGTCAAGAAGCCATCAGGCCTGAATGAAAGCAACCAATCAAAGCCAAGAAAGATAGTTGATTGTTGAGTCTCATTCTCAAGGTCCCAAAGCATCTGTATATCATGTACTACTGTCAGGATAGAGAAAATGTCTAATAATGACCATTTTTTTTTAAATAAAATGATCTACTTTAGCTTTAATATTTTCCTTTTTTCATAACTTTGTAATTGAAATT